CCCGTCAATTTAACTTAAAGGTTTCGCGAAAATTTGGCGAACGATTCCAAGGCTTTGCACAAGTAACATAGTGTATGCACGCTAAAACGTGTATATATTTGCGAGAATTAATAATGCAGGTGCGCGAGTCAATCACGAGACTCGGGCAGAAATTAATTAAGCACAACCAGCATTTGCTATGAATTTCAGGTTTAATATCGCAAGACGAGCGAGGTAATTACACCTCGATTTTATATCGAATTAATTGACGCCGTTATGCCACAGCCTTCGCGCTTCTCCACTCTGAACTTTTGCAATTCTGCCGCGCGAGACGCCGTGCTTTAAGGCATTTTAAGACGTTTTAAGAGCCGCAAAATGTGCATGTTGCCGCGTACCTCGTTTTTCGGATAATGTCGAGCGTACTTCGTTTCCGATTTTACGATCTAATAAGGAAACGTTTCATTCTTTGATTTTAATGAACTTTAAATATGTATAGAATAAACTAAAATAAAAGAAACATTTTTTATAAGTATTTTATCGCACATTAAAAAATTGAAGCAGATTCTTGAAACTAAATCAACATACTTTATTCCGCGAAAATGTCATAAAATTTTATATTTAACTGTTCTATAATTGTATATTTAAATTAACAAAAACATATTTTTCTAGAATATATCTGCATTTTTTATAATGTTTGACAAATGTCAAGTTATTAAGTTATAATGACACAAATTAACGAAATTTTTATACCAAATTTATTTATATATTTTTGATAAAAGTTTTCAAAATATTTACGTCTTTACCGATTTGTAGAAGTGGATATTTATTGAAAGTATGAACTTTTGAGCTAAATTGTTGATTTTTTACAACGATGTTCACGATGACTATGAAGTACAATATTGCGTGAAGTACAATCTATTTGTGTTAGTTTCATTAACCTGTAATGAATTTTAACACAATAATCAATTACTTTTACTAAGAATATTCATTATAATTAGTATTATATGCAATATTATAATTGAATGGCACAATAATATTAGCAAAAGCTTGTTGAACTGGATTAGAGAACAGTCATTAATCAACATATGCATAAGCGATAAAAATATTAACGACTCGTAAGTAAACGTAGTAATTAGTTTACTTTACTTCTATGCAAAGAGAAAACGATTTAATTTGATTCGTTGATAAGACTATTTAAAAAAAATAAAATCTGCAATAAACTAATTCCATTTTATCGTCACAGCAGCATCGTGTTAAAAAGTTGCTTATTTGCTTTTGAATATCTGTACTCATAAATTCTTCGTAATTTTTAATCATATATACTGCAAATCTTTAGGAAGATTTTATCAATAATTACTCAAGTAAGATTAATTTACGTACGTTTTTGTTATTGATACTGAAAAGTGCCCGAACACAATCCGATTAAGACAATATTTTTTGCGAATATCAGCAAACGATGATCATTTCTCTTCAGTTGCAAAAGTCGCGAATTACGTTTCCATTATTTCGAAAGTTGCCATGGTGGTACAGAGCGTTGCATTTCCTATCTCGCGTCCCATGATGGCTGACAACGACAGCGATGTCCCATCCCACTCCATCCACGCGCGGCTCTCTCACAAAAGCGACGGGTCCAGAAGGACGACCCTAGCCTAACCCTTACTTAAGCTCCCTTTTGCACTTGGCGGCCATGTTTCTCCGAGGGTTGGGCCACCAAAACGACGGCGACTCATTGGCCGGGAGAAAGGAGAAAGAGAAAGAAAGAGAGAGAGAGCTTCTCCATTTTCGTCTTGCTTCATCTCGCTATGTCTCTTATTCTGCCTCCTTCCCTTCCGTTGCCGCGCTCTTTATTCGACACCCCCAATGGCGCGTCTCTCTGTCCCTTTCCGCGTTTTTCTCGCTCTAAATTGACGTCTCTTCCTGTCTCTGTCAGTTTCGTTTTGAATCTCGTCTCCTGTACTTTCCGCTCTTCTTCCTCTGCGTCCCCCAAAATTCCGTCTCTCCATCTCGCAGCCGGTCTCTCTTCGTAGCGGTAAAGTTAGGTTTATTTTTTATTATTCTTCATGTTTGCCGGACATGTTCAGAGTCATCCTCCGACCATGCGACCCTTTGCGTTTCTACCATGGGTCTACGTGAAATTTATTTCGCGAGTTCGATGTTCTCGATATCGTTACATCCGTGAAGGAAAAGCATTGCGGTCGTGAATATTGGCACGATAGCTCGTTTGTACGGAAAGAAAGTCCGAAGTATTATTCCGGTCTACTTGCGTATTCACTACATATACAGTACATTGAGATTTTATGCGAAATTACGTAGCGATAATTATTTTAATGCGTATTAAGCTTTACTTCTTTTGAACGTTCAGTAATTATTAACGCCAGTGATAGTATTTCTTGCAACCAAAATTGTCTGATGATATTGTTAACCACTTACTAAATATTTTTTAAATTTGATATAGAGAAAAAGTATAGAGAAAATGTATAGTTAGATATATTAATATTACGAGTGATTTTTAGGAAACGTACGTTTCTCAATCGAAGCTAAATTTGATAATGAATTTTGTTTAAAAAAGGAAAGAGTTGAAGAAAACTATTATGTGGCTTTTAATTCCCTTATTTTCAACTATTGCTGCTGATTTAAATATATTATTGCACAGATAAACGAATTATAAAGAATAAAAAATAATTCGCAATAATAAATGCTAAAACGATATAGTTTGAAGTGATTACCATGAAATTTTCGAGTTTTGCAATTCAATGTGTCTAAAAGAACTTATAAGTCACTTTATAATTCCATGCAACAAAATGATTAACTTACCTGATTGTTAACTTCTGTGAACAGCATCTCGAAATGCTCCACAAACCTTACACCCATCTGAACTCATTCGATGATTGACGAAAACTGAGCAACTTTTTGCACGGTTCGATGAAATTTGGACCCCACCATTTTCTAGAGAATTCTTTCTTGACTTTCGAATTTTATTCGGTCGCTTTCTCTAACCCTCCTTTCCGATTGCATTCACTCTCGACTAGCCAGTGATCTCGTTTTCCCCTTTCGGCCTATTTCCTTCCTTCAACCCTTTTTATGAATGCTTTAAAAGAGAAAGTCCGCTAAGCTTATTTCTGTATAATAAAATTTAAAGAAGGGTTTTTCCTGTAGCTGTCATATTTAAATAAAATAATAAATTTTGTTTATTTTTTGAGAATATTGTTAACAATTAGTCAACTATGCATTCCATTCGCATAATCAATTTTAACACATGGTCAGTACAAGATGTAGCAAATTTCTGGTTTGTAAATCTTGCGTGCTGCGTAAGCGAATAAATAATATATATCTATTTTCTTTGTGTGCTATTTTATTTTAATGTTTATCGCTATAATATATCGAGAAAAAATAATTTAGAGAAAGCTTTGTTATTAACAAATATTTTACAATTAGATTTTACAGATTAACTAATGTCATTGTGTGCTTTTAAATTAGAAGTAAGAATAAATTTTGTATATTAATTAACTAAATGTAATGACGATATTTTATATAAATGGAATATGCAGATCTTGTAGATTTATTCCTTTTTGTTGTGCTGAAAATAACAAGTCTTCCAAAAGTTAATTTATTATAAAAAGAACGAATTCCAGGAGAATTGACGACATAAAGTTAAATTTATTAGAGATATGAAGAAGAGCAGAAGAAATAAAAAATTTCTGACAATTTTTTTATTCAGCTCACGAGAATCCTGAAACAAAGAACATTTCTTAATTTCAAATATATATTATAATTATTCGAATTCTTTTCTGATTTTCTTTATTTAAGGATTAATAAAATATGTTTTTCTGTGAAGAATGAAATAACATTTGCCATTTGAATTTTAATTAATATTCAGAGAATAATTGTTCCTCTATTTTTAATATAAATACTTAAACAGTACAATTAGCATACATTTAAAATTTGTTTGATTTAGATTATGATATAAAATTTTTAAATGCATACAAAAGTATTTTAAAATTTACATTTTGAGAATTTGAAAAAGCAATTAATGTAAGAAATTAAAAATTTTTTAAAGCTTATTTATTTGTTGAATTTCGAAGAAAGAATACTTACATGATAAATTTGTAAAGATATAAATTATAGTTATATGCGCACAGTATACATATTAATTTATGAATGGAATAATATATTATATGTATGTAAGAGAAAAAAATGGCATTGATAATCTTCATTATGTTACTTTATTATTTTATTTTATATCCAAGATTTCACGGTATTCATTTATCAAGCATAATGACCGACAGAATGAAATAAATATTAATAGATAATTATTATTTAATGATAATTAGTTTAACTTTTACATGTATGTAGAGCGTATTCCATTCCGTAAACTAATTAAAGTACTCGATGTAAAAGACGCGATATATATTCTTGAAAAACAAACTTTTTTATATTAAAAGATTTGTAAATCGTGTCTGTCTATAATATCATACATACATGTAATATATAGTAAATATAAGTATTAGTATATTAATATCCTAAATATATTAACATTATAGCTGTAATTTTTTTATTGCATTACATGTCATACAATTAGTGAATTCTGATGTTTGTACGTAAATGGAACGTCAACATTTATTTTATCGAATATCTAACATGAGTAGATAATCATATTTCAAGTACAATTTGCGACATCTTAGATAAATATCAAATATCTTATTATTTTCACACACAAGATTAATCTTATTTCTACATATTATTTTCTATCTTCTTAAGGTTTCTACATATTATAGCATGAAGATTGTATTCGAGAAGTCGACGAGAAATCCAGCGTTGTACGGTGTAGCCTCCTGTTACGTATACTGAAGGTATACCGGACAGGAATACACTCAGGATA